ATAAATTTTCAATTAACCATAAAGTTAGAAATAACTCTTTTGAATGGCCATAAGTAGATGTAATTTTCTTTGTTCATGGTAAATGAACTAATACAGGTATTTATAGGATTTAATTGAAATAGGATGTTTGTGTTAAAATAAATACCCAGGCAGCCAAGCCTGATGTTGCAGGCCTGCAATCCCAGCTACCAGAGAGACTGAGGCAGGAGGATCACAAGTTCAAGACTTTCCTGAACTACCAGTGATGGTCAACATAATGAGCTACCTGGCCTCATAAAATGTTAAACTAGGTGGTTGTATGTCAAAGGCTGATAGCTTATCTGGAATGTCAACACCCTGGTTTCATTTCAGTACATGCTAAGCTATCTCTCCAGCCCAGGGAGACATTTTATAAGCTCCTTGTATTATTTCAGAGACAATAGATTTTCCACGCATGTCCTAGCTAATCATATGCCTTGCTGAATGAAGGATTCTCCTGTGCCATGTTTCTCTCACAGCAACATGTAATTTTCAAAGCATGTCAGAATCACCAAAACTTCAGGCAGCTACCCATCTATTTCATATACATAGGAACCAACTCCCAGGAAGAAAGTAGCAAGAGCTTTGAGGTACCAGAACAAATCTAAAGTGTACAACCTAGAGTTTATAGTCTACAAAGAGAATAAAATAGGTATTTGTCACTGTTCATACCTATATCTTCATCAGATGGGTTACAAAGATTTGAGTTCTAGTAGGCACTTGCTTTGTGAGTGTTTGTCAGTGGTACTAAAGATTGAACCTATGGTTTTGCGTATGCTAGTTGAGTATTTTACCACTGAGTACCAACAATTATGATGATAATATTAGTACCATGATGATTTGTATTTGGTTTGAGGGTGCCTTACATATTTATATGTTGAAATTTATTCCCATTGTAATATATAAAGAAAATACAAAATTCAGTAATGGTGTTTGAAGCTTGGCCTTTAAAAGGTTGATTAAGTTTAAATAAGGCCATTTTGGTAGAGCTCTCATAGTAAATTAAGGGAAGATACAGAATGACACATATACTCTTTGCCCATTGTCATGTGATGCTTTATACAGCCTTAAGACACTGGTTGCAAAGTCAAGGGGGCCTTGAGCTAAAATAAAGTCTTTGGTTTATAAACTGTCCTGACTCATATATTTCATTACATAACAATAAATGGATTACTACAGATACTTAGATATCACAGTGCTGTTGTTAGTACTAAAAGAATTCATATGCATAAAAGTATTGGAAATAGATTTGCACAGGATAACACTAGATCAGATATATATTAGCTACTGGCATCGCTATTGTTCTTTATTGTGGCTCCTGGTGCTGTTACCGTGAAAGAAAACATCTTAGATTTTTCTTGAAGCTCTATTCCATATTTTGTGCACTTTTTCTTCACAGATTTCTACAAAGATGAAAGTGGTTGTCACTGCTCTTTCTCTTACTACCATCTCCACCAAGGCCTAACTCCAGAACCAATTGTCAATTAAAATTGTACCCCTCAAATTCTCCTGAGCACAAGGAAAGCTTGGCCTCCCTGCCTACCATTTTTCTCACAGCATCACTGGGACAAATTTTTTCACATGCCCTTCCTCCTACTATTCTTGTATAGACCACGGAAAGACATAAACAGATCAGCATCCACTCTCAGGAAATTAACCTAGGCCATACTGCTTTTATTCCTTTGTGGGATTCAGTTTTTCTTCATTCTTATAGTTCTCGGTGCCTCTGTGCGATTGCATGTTACTGACAAGCCACAGACAATGCATCGCCTTATCCTGCTAGCTGGGCCTTTGGGCAGCTGGGAATGCTGACACAGGCTGAACTCCACGGACACTGGTTGATTCCCATTGTAGCTGAAGTCTTCCGTCTCATTCCCATACGAACAGCGTGAGGAGGAGAAGCCAAGCTCACAGAAGCATAACCCATCTTTGTTCACCGACCCTTTCAGGTAAAGGGCAATGAAGACATTCACATTCTTCCACCAAGTTTTGTCACTGGCACCTGCTTACTTTCTCCCAAACATTAATTGGTCCTCGACTCCTAGTGCAAGCCTTTGCATTGATCAGAGGGATTTGAACATTCATGGGAAATAACCATAAAGCCCTGATGCCTTAATTCAACCACCATAACCGCTTCCTATACCTGCATCATTTATACACATCCTAAGTCACACACATAATCTTCTTGTCACCCTAAACTGTCCCACCTGTGTCATCTTCTATTTACATATTATACTCTCTCCTGCTTCTATCCCACTAAGTACATTTCTTTGTTTCTATCTCTTACATCTTAGAAGTCTTGGTTTCTTACAACTTATCAGACTCATTGAACACAATTACCTTCTCAAACTTACCTGGGACCTGCAATCTATTGTTCTAATCACTTCCCTTTCCATACTCTTAACTTTCCCCAGTATCTCCTGGTACTACCTATAAATCCACACACTCCTGATTAAGCAGAGTTCTTCTGGAGATCCTGGGCCAGGTTCCACTCTTATCCTTTCTGTAGCCTCAGACATACCTTTCCGTTGCTCACTGCCTTAACTCCTGAATCTTAATCCCTGCCCTCTCTACTGGGAACATGTGGCTCAAAACTCTCATATTTTAAGGTAAAGCTTCTCAGCCTTACCTCTTCATTTGCTCCTTTCTCTTCTTTCCTTCCCAAGGTTTTGAAATAAATAGTGTCTATTCACTGACTCTTCCCACAGTGCAACCTGCTTCTGTTTTCTGGGCACATCTTACTCCTATCAGTGTTGCTGCTATACCTAATCATTCTACAGTTAGCCACTACTAGACATATGGACCTCAAAAGGGATTATTTGGTCCAACTTAGCTATGTGGCCCCAGAGCCTAGCACAGTGCTTGATTGATAGGAGGTGCTCAATAAACGAATTACGTCACAAACACTTACTGAGCACCTACTAGGAACCAAGCACTATATCGGCTTTGTTAGAATCCACAACAAAACCCGGGCCCTAATCCATCACCAAACCCACATTCAAAAACCACTGATTCTCCCAGAAACCTTCTCTCTTTATGGATGCCCACAATCACTGCTCTATGCTGGACCTTCCTTACAACAGGCATTCAAATTTTGAATAAGCCTGATAAAACCCAGGAAATCCCAAAAGACTTAATTTGAAGAGTTGTTCCTATAAATGGCCATGTGTGGGTTGATTATGAAGTCTGGGAGCTGAGCTTTCCAAGCTTTCAGAATCATTCCTGCACAGCTCTAGGGCACTGTATTCACTTGCAACTCTATCTCAACATAGCTACGATTTACTAAGTTGCTCTAGGACTTCTCCATGGCCCTTTTCTTCAGATTCTCTCAATAAATCTTTGTTTCCAGGCTTTTATCCTCTACCTTCAAACCAGTGTAAAGGGTCTCTTGTTCTTCTATTTAACAATATGAAGAAATACCAATACTAGAAGTACTGTTGACTTCGGGATTCCACTTCACGTAATAAGCTTCCCTTTTCCATATGGAGGCTATCTTTACTAGCTCTGTTTTATTCTGACAATTGGATCCTATGCCAAGTGGTCAGTGAGGATAAAATGGGGTTTTAAATGGTCAAAGAAAGGCTTTGTGGACAAGAGGGGATGCTTTATGATTACAGACCCCCAAATGGAAATGTTCTAGAATAACATGAATGTGTGTGTGTGTGTGTGTGTGTGTGTGTTTCATAGTTTTTTTGTTGGAAGAAGGTAGCATGTATATAATGCAAGATCAAAAAGTACAAAATGGAGTAGGTGTTCTTCCCACTCCTACCAGGTTTTCCTCTCTGAGTATTATCACTACATTTCCTCTGCGTCCTAGAGATGTTGTATACATTTATAAATATTGGAACATCTGTTTTCTAGTCACTGACTTAGCAAGATCCAAAATACCATAAGCAGAGTGAACTGATACGTGTTGAAGTGTTAACAAAGTAGGGAACACCCTCTTTCATCTGATGTATCCTTCTTCTTAAGTCCCAACTGCATCTATAAGCCGTTTCCATCCTGCCGGTGAGCGGAAAGTTCAAACTTCTGAATATCTCTTATTGGTACAATGGTCTACAGTTTGTGGGGTATGGTCATAGCCTCTGTTACTGTGAATTAATTTTCCCCTCACACTATCTTTGCATTAGAGTTAGGCCAATCAATTTCCACTGTGCCTCCACTTTAGCTAGATGTGATTCATTAACAAAATTTACAGCCAGCAGCACTGTCACGCATGGCTGAAGCTCATGTGATAGCCATTGTTTACCTGGAAGGTACCTCTCAACCTTCTTAAGCTTCGAAGCACTAAACATCACTATGCTTGGGGAAGGTTTTGAACAGTGAAATTATCAAAAACATATGATGGTTGTGGCACTTAACACACTATGCAGAGATCTTTATATACAGCATAAGATTAGAGACAAAAAGCCATAGCTGGGCTTCTGCTGGAAACCTGCATTGTGGGTGTTCAGCCACTGCATTTATCCAAAAAGGACCACACAAACATAAAAATTTATCTTAGATTTATCGTAAAATTGTATCAAATTGCAATTTTGCAGATATGCAAATCACATAAGAACAGAATGCACATTATTATATTATTGCTTGAATGTCCAGATGACCACTTATATTTAACGTCATTTTTGCTTTGTAGAGTTTTTCATTTTAATTATGCAAACATGTAACTCCTTCCTTTTGTTATTTCATATACTTACTTTATCCAAAGCTGAAATAATATAGTCATCTACATTTTGATATATGTGTGATCAGGGGTATGTATGTCAATATTCTAAAAATCCTCTTTAATAATACACCTGAAACTTCATTTTATGGATGGTGTGAAATCATTTGTACAGGTAGCAAACACAAGCCAGAATGACCCCATCGTGAGCACTGTGTCATTCCAGCTCACAGTGCTGGCTCCTCCAAACACAGGTGGCCCATTCTGGAATACATAAACAATTTCCAGAATATAGAAAATAGGAGGAGAATGGCCTTACCTTTGCAACTCCATGAAGGTGCTGGTTCTTAAGCCACTCAGTAGCTGCATTCTGTGGTACAGCAGGGTAACAGAGAAGCTACAGATTGATGACTGACAGGCACTAAGTAAGATGGTAGGGGAGGTGATCTCTCCAGGCCACAACATGTATCCGAATTCCCTGAGGTGCTTCTAGAACTGATTCTGTGCCTCACTGTGAACCTGTTGAATCAGAACATAGGTGACTGGGTATCTGGAATCTGCATGTTTTAAGTCATGGCAAACTACATAGAACATGAGGGTTACCCCCTCAAACTTTTTAAATTAGACAGTTCAATGGTATTTACCATACTCCCACTATTTGCAGCTGTTCATCTCGAGAACTTCCTTAGCTTCCCAAATTGAAGCTTTGTGCCTATTACACAGGAACTCTTCTCTCTTACCTTGCTAGCATTAACCACTATTCTACTCTGTCTCCTGAATTTCTATATTCTAGGTAACCCATAGTAATAGAATCCTACTCTATTTGCCCTTTTGTATAAAAACAGGTTTTATTTTAAGAAGAAAATGGTCAGTGTGAAACCATGTCTCATGTAGCATCACTTATTTTAGAAGATCTTATATTGCCCAGGGACCTCTGAGAGTCCCAAAACTCTGCCAAAGAACTTGCAGAGTCAAAATTACCTAATGTTAAATAATTCTGTAATAGGGCTAGGGGGATGGCTCCGAGAGTAAGACTACTGGCTGCCCTTGCCAAGGATTTGAGTTCAGTTCCCATCACCCACATCAGGCAGCCCACAACTGCCTATAATTCAGGATCCAGGGGATCCAGTGCACTCTTTGACCTCCGTGGGCATTACACACAGTTATACAAACTCACCACAGATCCAGATACACACACACACACACACACACACACACACACACACACACAAATAAATCTTCAAGAAGAGAAAGAAATTGAAAGCTTATTCACTCTCCCTCCTTCCCAAGTGAGGTTTCCAGAGGCTACTTCTGTGGCAGAAGACTGAAAGAGGAAGACACTAAAGACAGTTATCAGAAAAATGAAAGACCACAACTCATAGATGTTTTATTTGGAAAATACTAAATATTCCCATTCAACGTAAGTTTTTGTGAATTTTTTTAATTTATTGGAGCTGTTCTTGAATTAGATTTGTGAAGTCTGTTTTCAGTTCTAGCATGTTAAATATCAATAGACATAGCATTCATAAACAAAATGTCCAAGGGTCCTATAAAACATTTAAGAGTATACAAGCAAACTGAGTATGAGTACACACACATATAATTCCAGGTACTGTAGAGACTGAGGCAAATGGGTCAGAAGTTTGACACCAGACAAGGCTATGTTCATGTCAAGACAGATTAGGTAACTTAATAAGGCCCTCTCTCAAAATCAAAGTAAAAAGAGGTGGGGGTGTCTCAGTGATAACACTTGAATAGAAGGCACAGGAACTTTGCTTTCATCCACAGTTCTGAAAAAAAAAAAAGTAGTGTATGCAAAAAGGTCCTAAAACCAAATTGAAAGCCAAGAATGATGCCACACACCTGTGATCCCAGAACTCAGGCGACAGAGCCTGGAGGATCACAAGTTAGAAGCCAACCTGAACTAAATAGAAAGTTCAAGGACAAACTGAGCTACATAGTAAAACCCAGACTCAAGGAGGAGGTCCTTTTATTTCAAACTTCTTTACAATAAATGACACACAGATTGGCTCATAATTCACCATTAAAAAAAAAAAAAAGATTCCCAGGTGAATCTCATGAATGTCACCACCAAACATAATCAGCATATAATAATGACTGGGGAAGATAGTATGGTTTATCCGGTGTGGTACTAAAACACTTAGGGAATTTAGGTCTAATACATATATACACATACATATAAGGCAGTGTTGAGACACACACACACACACACATGAATTAATGAAGACTTATGATACACTAATAGAAGGATGATGTCCAGAATGAAGGAGACGATGGTTTTTCTTTGACTCTATCCCATTTTAGAAGTACTGGGTTTAGCTTTAGAGTACCATATACCAAGAGTGACAACAACAAAAGGACAAATGAGCTAACAAGGAGGCTGGAATCCAAGACAAATGCAGAATTGCCAAACATTAAATCTAGAAGCTATCTAGATATCTAGAGTTATGAGTCCCAGAGAACTGAAAAAAAAAAATGTAGTTAAATAGCCATCTTGTGGAAGATTTTTTTCTGCCTTGGTAAGGCTATCCACACATATCTTTCTAAACCATTCCCTTGGCTAATAATTCTTAGTTCTGTTTATCAAGAAGGGGACATTCCCATTAGCTTCAGCCCTTCCTTGGTTCTCTCTATCCAGAGTTGCCCAAGCACTTCCAACTCCACAGGAGTAGAATTAAATTGTTAGTCCTAGATTCACAAATAAAGAACCCAAGGCCCAGAAAAATCTTAGTGGATTTCCCTCTGGGCTCCAGGATGGGAATTTGTCTCAGTCTGACCTACTCTGCAGTGTGTAGTACCTTTGTGTTTCCATAATGCTAGCTTACATAATAATCAGGAAGAAATGAAAACACAGCCCTACAGACCTATCTTGTAGCAAGGTACACAGGGGAATTGGTCTTGCCTTAAAACAAATGTGCTTAAAGGTTAAATTTTCTAGATTATATTTAAAAATTGATGTCTGGCAACATAAGAAGCAAAAGCATTAAGTAGAAAAATCTGAAGAGGTCCCTGCCCCTCTCCAGACCACATTTTCCTGGTATTTAAAGGGAAGATCTCCATCTTACAGATGGGCCCTTCCAAGTGTCTATAGAGGACAATGTTCTGGGGGAAGGTACAGACATTATGAATAAGTGCTCATGCCATTTGGCCTGTGTAATAGCTCAGCTGTGTTCCAACCTCATCCTCCAGGACCTCCTCAGATACAGCCTGATCATACATCTTCACAATACTCTCATCAACTCCAGGCACCCAGCCCAACATGACGTACTTGTGCACAGTCAATGCGCCTCTGGTGATATCACCATGTTACTTAATTAGAGAAGTGATCAGAGGCCCTCTGTGGTAGGCTCCTGTCCTGTTACTTGTTTTTTCTTACATCCAATGTCCATCCCATTTGTCTTTCTAAGTGAGAGTTGATCATCTTACCTCCGGGTCCTCCTTCTTATCTTCTTTAGGTGTACAGATTTCAGTATGTTTATCCTATCTTTTCGTCTAGTACCCACTTATAAGTGAGTATACACCCTGTGTCTCTTTCTCCTTCTGGGATACCTCACTCAGAATGATGTTTTCTAGATCCCACCATTTGCCTGCAAATTTCATGATTTCCTTGTTTTTAATTGCTGAGTAGTATTCCATTGTGTAAAAATACCACAATTTCTGTATCCATTCCTCCGTTGATGGACATCTGGGTTGTTTCCAGGTTCTGGCTATTACAAATAAAGCTGCTACAAACATGGTTGAGCAAATGTCCTTGTTGTGTACTTGAGCATCTTTTGGATATATGCCTAGGAGTGGTATTGTATCAAAGCAGATACTGAGACTCATTACCAAACCTTGGGCAGAGTGCAGGGAATCATATGAAAGAAGGGGGAGTTAGTATGACCTGGAGAGGACAGGAGCTCCACAAGGACCAAATATATCTGGGCACAGGGGTCTTTTATGAACTTGTATCTCCAACCAAGAACCATGTATGGATATAACCTAGAACCCCTGCTCAAATGTAGCCCATTGTAGCTCAGTATCCAAGTGGGTTTCTTAGTAAGGGGAACAAGGACTATTTCTGACATGAACTCAATGGCTAGCTCTTTGACCTCTCCCCCCCCCCACCCGAGGGAGGAGCAGCCCTGCTAGGCCACTGCAGCCAGGGCTGAAGATACCTGGTAAAACAGGGTCAGATGAAAGGGGAGGAGGTCCTCCCCTTGGAAAGGGGTAGAGAGAAGATGAGGGAGGGAGGGTGGGATTGGGAGGGAAGGAGGGAGCGGGATACACAGCTGGGATACAAAATTAATAAACTGTAACTAATATTAAAAAAATAAAAAGAAATAAAAAGAAATCAATGTATCTATTAAAAAAAAAAGAAGTGAACAGGTAATAATAAACCTTCTGAGGTACATACAGTATCCGTCCCAGCACCCCAAGACTCTGATGTATTTTCCTGGATAACTTACTAGCTGCATGGCTTTGGGCAAGTCTCAGAATCTCTATGAGCCCCAGTTTTCTCGTCTGGGAAGAGAAGAGGGCAACATACAAGGCTATTGATGTTGTTCAGCTCGTGGAGTGCTTCTTTAGCAAGCACAAAATCCAGAGTTCAATCCTCAGCAGTTGGTGGCACACGCCTTTGATCCCAGAACTTAGGAGCAGAGGCAGAAGGATCAGAAGTTCAAGGTCATCCTTAACTACAAAACAAGTTAAAAACAAAATAGTGAGTAATAAATGATTGACCTAACTTTTGTGAAAATTCACATCTTTGGCTGAGTTAGGTCAGCCAATGCCACCATTGCCTTAGATTCACTAGCTCTTATCAAGGTCCCTCTTCTGTGGCTTTCTAGTCTGATCATTGCCCCATTATATACCAGCCAAAGAATGCTCAAAGAACCAAGGCTGCATCTGAGGACTCACAACCTTAGTCACTAGAACAAATCAGGTGGCTGAAGCTTCCTTTCACAGTAAGTTCCTTCTGACTAAGCCTTTCCAGTCAGCTCTGCCACAACTCACCGCCCCAGGCACTCCCATTCTGCCTCTTGGGGTTACATTGTACAGATAAAATCGTCTTTGTCATGACAAGTGTAAAGTAATCAGAATACAACAATAATGTCCTACTCATCTTCTAGGCTCCTTTTCTTCTCCATTTTGTCTTATTCCCTTTTTAAAGACAATTTAATTAAGTACAGTACTCGAAGTATGATTCTACAAATGCTTGTCAGAATAAAACAATTGGCTCCTGAAATTTTAGAGCCTATACTATCATTAGTAAAACCTGAGTTTACATTGACCTTTCCTGTTTAAACATGAGTTCATCCTTTAGAATCATAATTCTTTCAAAAGAATTTTGTCTGCTTTATAAACCAAGCACAAAATGTCACACTTGCTCTTATCAAATTTAGTTTGTTATTGTTGGATTATCTTTGTGGTCTAGTAAATTCTTCATAGATTCCTAGTTCTGTCATCCAGCACATTACTTCCCCCTTACATTCCAGTTCATCTTCCCACCTCATGAGTGTGCTGTTCTACAGCTCCACCCAAGACATATACTAAGATGCTGAAAGCTAGCCAGAGACAGGTAGATCCCTGCAGCCTGCTGCGAATGACCTCTCTTTATAACGGTGAAGCTCAACATTTTCCCTAACTTGATGTGCCTGAGAGACCTCACACCCTCTCATTTCTACTATCGCAGTGGCTCACATAGCATTTTAGAGACCCAGAAAAATAGAAGGCCTCCTGAGGAAAAAAAAAAAAAAAAGCTGAATTGGGGGAAAGGATTTTCTCCAGGTGCTTCTGCTAATCCCAAAGAAAATGGTTTCTCATTCTCCACACTGAGTGAGAATTCTTGCTCCAGGGAAAATACGGAGAGTAACTGATTCCCTTTGTGAATGGTTTCTTCATGCACATGGGTAGTTCTGGGAAGTAAATAAGCAATATATATAAAGCATCCAGCATATTGGGCACATAGTAAATACTCAATAAAAGATTACCTTTATAAAAAAAAACCTATTTAGAATCTAACTAGAAAAGCAGTGCTGACTCATAGTTCCTCCATCTTGTTCACAGAGCACCACAACAAAAATCTTTGCCATGTTCTTCTTTGTCCTACAAACACATTGTAATCATCAGTTAATTAATTGATCTCATCCAAAAGGTCATATTTCCTGACTCCCAGTTTTCCAATACATAACACAATTCCCCAATGGGAATATCGTGGCTGACACTACACTGTGTTGATTTTTTTTTCAAACTAAGGCTCTGCTAATCCTCCTGTCCCTGCTTCTCAGCCATGACTGGTGGCATCTGGACAGCCATATTCTTTGTAGCCCACATCATTGTCCTTCCAGCTGATCTTTTAATGAATACTGCTTTTTACAGGGCCAGTAACAGAATCCAGGATAGGTTGCCCAGGCTGGTCTTGAAATCAAGTAGTTTCTATATTTTTATGGTTAAAGGGCAGATTTTGATACCCCACCCCACTTACACAGTCTCTGACACAATCCCCAGATCCCTCACTTTTGCATCTTCCTTCCAGGGTCCATGTGATTTATAATACTGCGTACCACATCTCAAGGTTTCCAATCGCCACAGGTCCAGGGTAAAGTTGAAGAAGTGAATCTGGAATCCAAGAAATCTGTGAAACAGCAAATATTCACATGTATGCTTTATAGTTTAAATAATTTTCCCTTTGATCCTCAAAATAGTCCAGTTGTTTCATTTGTGAAAAAGCATTGCTAAAAAGAATTTAAATGGAACTGTATCAAGCTAAATTATACATATACGTACAGAAAACTAATCCCTACCATATAATCAGATTAATAAAAATGAAAATGTTGAGTGTCAGCTACCATGAAAGTCAGTTTCTATCCTTTAAGGAAGAAGATGAAAGATTATGACAAGTCTCTAAGAGGTTAATTTACTCAAAGTTCATACAGCAAATAAGTGGAATGACACTCAAAGCCTGAGTTATCTGACTCTAAGCCTTCTAATATTTTCTACTTCAACCCCAAGAAGGCCGTTTAACTGCCTTCAGTAAAATGGCCGCCATCCTTCCTTTGGAGAAATTGGCAGTTCCTAACTGAAGCCATCTCCTAAATATACAGAATCACAACAAATTTTCAAAATACACACACACACACACACATGTATGTATACATATATGTATACATACATGTGTGTGTGTGTGTATAATTACTTTTTAAAGATCAACCTCCCTCCCAGACAGCCAAATTTCTAGATGATTCTAGGAAATGTTTTTTTTTTTTTTCGTTACAGGAGCCAGAGAACTGCATGCACCCACTGTGAGCTGCACCAGCCAGCTCTGACCCCACCCTCCATCTTGCGGCAGTACATCCACACGTCATCGAATCATTGGACCTGTGCGCTGTCCCACTGCATCAGAAATACTGCAGGCTGTGAAAATGTCATTGTTTTCATCCTCCATGTCTCAGTCCCAACCCTTCCACCGCAGTACCCGCAAAGGACAGGAATACAGCCCATGACAGAAATCCAGACCATACAGTCCAGTTTCTAGAACAAGCCACAAGCCCGGAGGAAAACCCATGCCAAGGATGAGAAATGAAGTAACATCCTCAACCTTCCACTTTCCCAACTACCTTACTGAAAAAAAAAATAGGAAGTAAGAAACCAACTCAATTCTGATCAACTCACTCATGCACACCTGTCTTACCTATTGTAGTTTGTTATTTCTTCAAAATTGATCATTCCCTCCTAATTGAAACGACTAGCACAGTTAAAGGGGTGAAAAGGTTGTCATTTGCTGGCTTGGGACTACCAAATAGCCCGAGATTGAGTCACATATACAGAAGGGCTCTAAGAGCAGGCCCGCAGAGCTAGGCATCACCACTGTACCACAAACCACCCAGGCTCAGCTCCAGCCTACCAGATAATGTCAGCATCCGGACTGCCTACTAGATGCCTGCATTTAGAGCCCCAAACCCTGCATTGCTTCCTAGAAATGACCTCTCTCCCTCTAAAAAAATAAAAGTCGCTTCAGGTTAAACCAGCCTCTTCTGAGCCTTTCCTCAATTAACCCTATTTGCTGTATTTCCCTGTTTCCTTCTCCACACTCACTTCTTTCTCTCAAATTACTTTCAACATCTATAAATACCTGGCTCCTTGTCTGGGCTTGAGTCAGCATGGTCTTCAGCCATCTTCCTGGGTTTACTGACCTCAGGCTCCAGCTCTGCACAATTATCTGAAACTGGCTCAGATGGATTTTTAACTGGTCAGAAATGATTTTTTTTCTTAGTCATAAAAGATATAAAGTGATCAAAAGCAATTTCTGGCCATTTTCATCCCACTTGGTCCAGTTTATAGTGCTCACGCAGGAGTAAGGCACTGCTGAGTGGGGGTTGGGGGCTCATGGTGCATCCGAAATGAGATGAAGCTGCGTCAAGTCTGCTCAGTAGACCAGTGGGGGACAAAAAGGACCTGATGCTAAGGACCATACCATTAGTAATGGTGATGCTAGAGGGGGAATCAGAAAGAACCTAATAGTCCATGAGGTAGGATCAAACCACTGTGGACCCCGGGGGAGGGGCTAACAGCCTGATGCTCAGTGACGCAGTATCTAATCATTCCTGTGAGACAGGAGGGGAAAGATGCTGATGTTCAGCAGATAGGAGCAAACCGCTGTCGTGTGCAGGGAACTAAGTGGGGATGCTTTAATGGAAGATGCAATCAAACCACTTTAGATTATGAGCTGGATATCTAGAATGAAGAGTAAAAGCATAGAGCGCCTAATAATCTGTGAGACAGGAGCAGACCACTCTGGAGGTTTAGTAGAAAGGATGCTGTTCTGAGAAGCAGGACCAAACCACTGGGAAAAGGAGGGGAGAAGGAGAGAACTGAAACCTCCTCAAACAAATTTAGTTCCCCCTTGTGACATAAAAGAAGATCCAATATTCTGTGACACAGAATCAAATCCTGTTTTATTATTTATAATGGCTTTAATATACATTATCTCCTTTGCTCTTTACTTCGCCCTGATGGTTGGATCAGACCATCTTTCTACAACAGCTTCTGCAGAAATTCTGAGCTGCTCCTGAGGGTTGCTAGGCAACAGTGCAGCAGCTGCCCAGTGAACCTTGCCCTTTTGACATTAACCCCTTAGTTTCTGAAAAGAAAATGAGATGTATGAAAAAACAAGAAGCAAGTAGAGGCAATTATCAACAAATGCTAGCCAAGGAGGAGTGAATCATGAACAAAGACTTAGCAAATTTAAATGTAGAAATGAGTGGGTGAGAAATGATGGATACACAGAAGAAGAAACATTTTGACACAGTGACCAATCCCTGGTCAGGCCTGTGAGTCTTCCTGTGACATCCTTAACCAGTAACTCTTGAATATATTTTATATCTTTTTTTTTTTAAGGTAGTTGTTGTAACTTCCTGGGAAATGTATCCCATTTCCCTATAACTCTAGTTATTCTTTTTTTCTATTTGAGCTAAATATCCGCATTTTGGCCCCATAGTTTGTGTTCTGTCTTCTAGAGCAGTGGTTAATAAAGGCAAACTAGAACTCACAGGTCATATTCAACCTATTGACTATGTTTGGGCAGAACAGAAGCTAAAAATGGTTTTGACATTATAAATATCCTTACAAAAACGCAAAGAAAGGATTGAATGCCCCTTTGTTTATATACACACAGGGTTGCTTCCCAGTCACCAAAGCAGAGTTGAATAGGCACATAGAAACCAGGAGAGCTCTCAAAATCATAACGTGCATTGCCTGGCTCCTTTGACAATAAGTGTGCCAAATCTCAGGAGGGTTGTTTTTTTAGCTGGGAAAGATAACTGGTCCTAGAGCTTGGTGTCGGTTCACTTTGGAGACCTCAAGTACTTTTGAGATTATATGTCAGCCCTTGCTCTACATTCATACCTTATTGGACTGGACAACTGGAAAAGAGGTGAGATCTGACCTGAGATTGAGAGGCCATGCAAAGAAGCTAGTTCTTTCTGGTACTGATGCTGTGAGGTCCTTAGCTCCCCATTGTGCCTGCCTTCATGGGCTCAAGGCTAAATAGCCTGGTCAGGAAGACAAAGCCCACAGTGATGTCTGCCAGGCATCCAGTCCCATTTTCCATGGCCTCTGTTGATCCTGGAGCCAACCTTCAGGCTGGATTCAACACATTCAGGACGAAAATAGGCGCTTGGCCGGGCAGGCTGGCTTTCCACAAAGTGCTCTTTTCCCCAATGGCCAAAGCAAACGCTGCAGGCTGGGGCTAACAGCCAGCCAGCCGCTCCCCGACCTCTGCAGGCCAGCACCAAGGAGGCCCAGAGTCAACAGAGCACGCACAGGTCTGCTATTTCATTCCTCCTTAATTACTCCGACATCAGATTTCCCTTCAGTGAATCTGAAAACCAAACAAAACTGAAGGCCACTCTCGCCTCTAGGAAAATGACAGACATCATCTATGAGCCTCAACTTCAAAGATTCACTCTCTCCAACCCCTCAGGTCCCTTTCTGAAGCCTCAGTTTAAACTGATTGCTTCTGTTTCCTTAAGAGAAGGAAGGATGTTTGCAGGAATGAGCTAACAGCACCCCGTGTTCTGGCTGGCTCACAGACCAAACAGAGAATAAAAACAGTCAGAACAATCATTCTTCCTGAATTAGGTAGCTGGTCTCCCCTCACTGTGAGGAGAGCTTGGCTAAGAGCCAGGATTCAGATTCTGGGTGAGAAGGAGGGCATGGAGAAAGGAAGAGAGGGAAAACAAAAGAAAAGGAGAGAAAGGCCAGGAAGAGAGTGAAAAAAAAAAAAAACTTGCTTGGCTGGTTTTGTTTTGTAGTACTGAAGCCTGAACACAAAGCCCCATAGAGACTAGGTAAGTAGTCTATCAACAGAGATACAATCGCTGGTCCTTTCACTTTTTGTTTTGAAACAGGGTCTAAGTTGCCCAGGGTGGCTCAGAACTCAGCTGGTAGCCCAGGCAAGTCTTGAATAATAATATATAATATTGAATAATATATAAATTGAATATTATATATAGCAAACATAAATGTGATCCTTCAGCCTCAGCCTCCAAAGTAACTGGTATTACAGACCCAGCAAAGAAAAATATGTTCATCTAGTACATAAAATCTCTTTTAAAGCAATGACTTGTGATCAGTGAGTGATGGGGGTAGGGGAGCAAACCTAGAAAATGACACTTCATTAGTTATGACCTTTCCTTGACTGTTTATGTAGAAACTAAGCTTCCAAAGAACCTTTCTCTAATAATAACAATAGACATCTCCCAATAAATAACCATCCTGTAATTAATAAGAAATATGTTCCCAACAATTTTTTTTTTCTTTTTAAGCCGTCATCATCTCATCATATCCCATGGTGACAGACAACTCACAAGGTTATTGTAAGATATTTTAAATTTTTCAGAGAAACATATAGCTCATAAACTAGTACTGTTGCCATTTTTACACCTAATTTCTAAATAAATACAAATGCAACACGGTTCTTTTCACTTAGTGGTACCATAAAGAAAATTACTGAGGCAATGAGAGTACAATAAACAGAAAAAGTACTTGGCATTTTTGTATATGCACTACATGTATTATTTCATGTAATCTCCAGTTATTATGAGGTAAGTTCTAATATTGTTTCCATTTCTTTGATAAAGAAACTAAGCCTCCAAAAGATTAAATCATTTTCTCAGGGTACCCAGGCAAGCAACAAGGTGAGAAATCTATTGTGGGAAACACCAGAGACTGTTTTCTTACCCTGTTCATAAGACTACTTCTGCATAATTAGCCTAGGCATATTGAAGGCATAGGATGAGGGGATTGTCTTCAGAAGAAAGATTGTCCTCTAGGCTGCAGAAATACTAGTACTATTCTAGATGTCCAGAATTATCTTATTTCTAGATCAACATACATACTATAAGAGGTAAAAGAAAAGAGGTGTTACTTAAAAATAAATGCCAAATATAAGCAAGAATTAGGGTTCCCTTCAAATTATTTCAACTATTCAACTGCATTTGAACAAATTTGGAGGATCTCTGTGCTTTATGCACTTTTACCTTAATTTTTGTTTTATCGCCCTATATTTGTTGTAAATAGTATCATGATAGGTATAGTAAGGGCAACTTCTTCCAAGTATATAAAGTACTCTAATTATACCCGTTTTTTCATATCCTCTCTTTTGTCCTCCCTCTCCTCTTCTTTCTGCCAGCAATCTCCTTTATGCTTTTATGTCATAGATACAGTCTTGTGTCTCTATATAAACTACAGGATCCATGAATGAGAGAAAACATACAATATTTGTTTGGCTCATTTCACTTAACATGATGACCTCAAGTGTAGTCCATTTTCATCCAACAACATAATATTATTCTTCATGGCTGAATAAAGCTCTATCATCCATATGTATCATAGTCCCTTTATCCATTCATCTGTCAACAGATCCTGAGGCTGATCCTGTAACTTAGCTATTGTGAACAGTGCCCGATAAACATGAATGGCATGTGATAGTTTGGCATAATGTCTTCTGAGCACATAGCCATGATAGTACAAATGTGACTTTAAATTTTAATTACCTTGAATAATTTAAATTCATTTTTTACGATAGTGAAAGAAGCAATATCTCATACCCAGTGGAATATAAAATAGCCCCAATTGCTCTCCCCCAAAGTGGGAACAACAACAACAAAAATATCCAGAGAACCACAAAAGAAAGGAGTCAGTGTCGTAGCTGAAACAGTGTATAGCCTGTTCAAACTCTGGGCTTTCCTGTCATGTGAGGATAAACTCTTTGACATTTTTTTGTCCATTTAAGTTGAGTTGGCCATAATTTGCAATCAAAACATCCTTTGTGGGAGTTACTTTCCTAAATCACTGAGCCCATACATATATTACAACCCAGTTTCAGTGTCAGCTACCCACAGAAGACTGATTTGAACCACAAAAGACAATTTCTTTCACCATCCAATGTGTATTCATAGGCTATTTTGCACAATTTTACTGTGCAACACATCACAGTGAGTTCTTTGTTTATAGTTACTTCTTCACTATGGTATTTCCCATTGTATAGTAAACCTGTAGTGCCTTACAAAGTGTCAGAAGACTCTTCAAAAACTGAAGTCAAATGTTAATCATTCAGTTTCCCTGCTGCTGGTGGGCAGGATGATTCGCAGCTTGCCCTATTCTTAATACAATTTCTGGTGGCTCAAGAACTTGACCTTTCAGCTCTAGGCACATGTGGAATAATTATGATAATAATGGCAAAATTCAGTCTGCTAGACCAGCATCCAGCACTCCACACCAAACCTGACAGGAAAAGTCAGTGGAGAAATTGCTGGCATGAACCATGGCCTCAGTGAACCCAGCACACAGATGGTAAAAGTGCCCCGATGACTACCATAAATGTGGTCAACTAATTACAGTCAGATTACCACAAAGATATTTA